TCTTGAGTTCCACCTTAGGCATAAGGTAGAAGTGGGCCTGGTGCATGAATTCCACATATACCTAGATGTTTTGGATATTAGCTCCATTATACCTTGATCCCAGCATCCCAAAGCTCTGCAATTAGCTTCAGCCGTTCTTGGAGAAAGTTCTTCTGTGGTGTGGCCACAAACACTTGGGTCTCTGTGGTCCGTATCTTCTCACCAAAAGTCTAGTAAAAGAGAGAGAGAAGGTAAAACTAATAAAAACTTCCTTTGCACCAATAATTCAAAGAAAAACAAAAACAATCATCAGAAAAACAGTCCAACTGCACTTCCAGAAACATGAGAGTTTTTAAGGTCTGCAGCCCCACTCTAACCCTACCAAGGACCTACCTTCATCCTCTGCTCCACAATGGAGAAGATCCGCTCCACCCCAATGCTGAGCCCCACACATGGCACGTTGTGGCCTTTGGGGTCAAACATGCCCACCAGCCCATCATAGCGCCCACCAGCAGCCACACTGCCCACATTCAGTGGCTCCTCCTCAGCATGAGCTGGGGTCTGTAGCAGCACCGCTTCATAGATCACTCCTGTATAGTAGTCCAGGCCCCGAGCCAGGCTCAGGTCAAAGGAGATCTGTGAGGACAAGGTTATAGTCAGTCTTAGACAAGACTCAGGACCCTGAGAGCCCTAGACACAGCAGGAGGTGCACTCCCTACCCAGCTTACCTTCTCAGCAATTCCAAATAAAGTCAGGTATTCAAATAGCAGCTTCAGGTCTCCCAAGCCCTCTAGGGCCTGCTTGTTCTGGGATAGTCTGGGATCCTGGAACATTTGTTTCACCAAGGATACCCCTCCTGGGGAGACATGTGGGAAGAAATAATGTCTGTGTTATACACCCAGATGTGTTTCATCCAAATGTATCCCTAATATGCTCCAGCTAGTCCTCCTCATTTTCTTAAAAAAAAAGATCCTGATCACATATGACCAGATTCTCCTCTTCTGCCTCCATCTTTGACACCTAAAGACATAACTGGTTACAGTAAGTAAAAAGGTTATTAAATTAAAACCAGGCTCTGGAACTTAGCACATTTATGAAAAGGAGCTGTTTCAGACATAGAAGTTATACACTTATCACCCTCACTCTGGTTCTATCATGTACCTCTGAAAACACTGATTCTTACCTTGACATTGGACGTAATCCCCAATTCGATCAGCTACTTCAGCAGCTAGGCCTTTCTTTGCCACCATCTCATGTCTCACACCTTTCCAAGACATCTGCACAAACACCCAAACATTAGCCTAGCCCCAAGATCCTTCTTTCTCTTAATGGAAAAGGACATCTCATTTCATTCATTATGTATGTCACAAGTAGCTAACACTCTACTCAGCAAAGTCAGAGGTAGCTTAGGAAATCCAGCTGTAATCTCCACTGCACAGCAAAACTCAGGTCTCATTTCAGAATGTCTCCTTACCTTCCTCCCAGAAATAGCTCACTTCCAGCCACCATCTCCTTATTTTCCTCTAAAGGTATATACAGATTTGAAGGCAGGGCAGAAACTCTGATAGGATCTACTGAAGCATGTCTTCTTTGTTACCTTGTCTAGTTTGTCTACCGAGGAGCAGATGGCATGGAACTTGCTTTCAGGAACACCACAGACGGCAAATATCCCATCCAAAATCCGCCGGTCATTGACCTGTGAACTCAATGGAAGTGACCCAAGTGGCTTATGAATGACCTCTCCCTCAAAACAATGGCAGTCCCTACTTGCCTGACTCATAAAAGGGAAAGGAAATTCCACAGGGTGACTATATAGATACAGATATAAAATGCAACACTTGTACTAAGAAAGTCCTAGAGCTACAGGCTTAATGGCTGGGGTCACCTATGTTTTCAAACAGCATTAGGCCAAATCCAGACTTCTTCCCTCAGTCCTCGGCTCTGGCCTCACCTTAATGAGAAAATCCCCAAGCTGCAACCCACTAAGGATTTCACACATGATCTTCAAACACTCTGCATCAGGGATCATAGGGTCAAACTGACCAGCAATGTCAAAATCCTACAGCAAAGAAAAAGGCGAAAAAAAATTAGTGAGCAGCCAGTTCCTAGGTTGTGGTCCCCAGAACTATCAAACCACGCTGCCTCCTTCAGGTCACTTACACACTGGCAGAACTCCCTGTAGCGGCCTTGGACTATGGTTGGGCTCTCCCGACGCCACACCTTTCCAACATGATAGCGTTTCATCTTCTTCACTTTATTCATGGCCAGATAACGAGCAAAAGGGACCTCACATAAATAGGTTAAGGAGGAAGAATACTACATCCAGAGCTTAGCCCCAGTGGAAAGACATTAGGGAGGACTGGGCCTCTATCAACTGGATCTCATCCACTAGGATTAGAACAAGGACTTTCTCTGTCTCCTTTCCCACTATCACCAAGGCATAGCAATCAATAAACATTGAATAGTGTCAAATGAAGGAATCCCTGCAAGTTTGGTAGAAAGCAGGGGAAGCAGAGATAAAAATGACCCAAGAACTTCAAGTCTGGGCCATTCCCTCCCATTCAGATCAAGTCTCAACTGTCTCAGAAGAGTCAAGCTTCAGAACCTGGATTTGCCTACAACTTCTATATCAATGTTTCTTCAAGTGTTCAAGGACCACCTGCATCTTAATTATCCAGGTACCTATTTAAAATGCAGATTTCTGAACACCACTCCAGCTACAGAATTAAGAAAATCTGGGGCTAGAGGTCAAGAATCTGTATTTTTGCAAGCTTCCTCAAGGGATTCTGACACACTATAAACTTAAATGACAGAGCTCCAGGCCAGGCTCTGCTGGCAGAATTGCCTTCTGGAAGAAACTTGAAGTAAAGGCTGCTGCCAATGAACCTATAGGGTCCCAGAGTCACTCCTGTCCCGTTATCAGAGAATGACCTCTGGGTTTTGAAAGAGGTAAGTCAGGCTCCCGTACTTAAAAGGATACAGTAAGGTCATAGCGCAAGGACAATAGCTCTCCACCCTGATCCTTCAGATCATAGATGAGCCCAGAGTCCTCTCCATACTTCTCAGTAAGCATTTCCTGCAGGAGTCAAACAGAAAGTGCCATGGTTAAAAGGAGGACTCCAGAACATAGGCTAGAAGCCCTTTGGGAAAGAAATGGGGTTCCTGCATTTTTTTTCTCCTCTTACCTTTAGCTCAAATGCCGGGGTATCCAACCCCTTTGCTCCATGACGTTTAAAGCAGCTAACAACCATATCAAGAATTTTCTCCCTCACGACCATCTGCTGGGGACTAAGATCTCTGGTGCCCTAGAAACCAAAAGGAGCCAGAGTGAAAACAAAGACAAAGACAAGTCCATTTAAGACAAAGAGTTAAACTACATCTATAATCTAAGGTCTGGAGTTGAAATCTCTTTGAGTTCAGACGACTATGAGCCCCACCCAGTATCTCAAGAATAGTGAAGAATTAGTGAAATAGTGAAAAATTAAAAATAGGGAATACCCTGGGGGTCCTTTGGTTAGGACTCTGCACTTTCACTGCCAAGGGCCTGGGTTCAACCCCTGGTCGGGGAACTAAGATCCCGCAAGCCATGCGGCACAGCCAAAACAAACAAACAAACAAAAACAAAAACATTAAAAGTGGTCAAGAAGAGAAGCACAGGGCAGAACTCCAAGGCACTCTAACGGACAGGGTGGGGCAAAGGGCATTACCTTTGGGGTCTTGATAATAAAATTTGATTTCTCTTGATGTGGTTTCAGTTGGGTTGCTAACGCTGCCTCCGCAACCTGGCAGAAGAAATGTGAGATATGGCTCCTTTCAATACTGGCCAAACCCGTGGTATCTCTGGCCCTGTGTACCACCAACCTGAAAATACTTTTGGCCCTGAGCAACAGGAAGTCTGAACACTATTTTATCTATCCCAATCTCAGCCCACTTCCAAAAACCCAGTTGTATCTGCAATACATATGTAATACATGTGGGATCAGATGTTTACCATACAAGATTCCTCACTATAATTGGAGTTTTTAAAAGTATGAAAAACTTTAACCAGCAAAAAACAAGGAAGGCACAAAGCAACCCAAGACTACCACCACTAACCATATAGGAGTAGGGATTAGTACGATCTCCAGTTCTCAGTTCCTACTCAAAGAGCAAAAAATAAGAATTGTTAATAAGGTAGTAATGGTCATTAGGTTTGGAGATAGGGAAAAAGTAACTGGAAGACAGAAGAGAAACAGCCCAAGAACACAGAACATGCCTGTGGAATGAAAAGGAATGGATTTCCTGATTGAAAAAAAAAAAAAAGCCGATTGATAGGATGCTGTGACTGCAAATAACAAAAGATCTGAGCTCTGTTGTTCATGATAGCACAAAGCATCTACTAGGAACACAAAAGTGTCATTCCCAAGGTAAAACAGAATCTGTGATTTTGATTATCCCCAGCAGGCTGTATGCCCTTCCAGAAATATAGAGCGTGTAGTAGTTCATACTTTGGCAGATTCTGTGCTCCAAAGGACAGCAGGTGAAGCCCACAACCCCTCCTAAGAATCCATAATCTCTGAAAACTAAAAATTTTAAGATAATTCTAATGTGAACTCACTCTACTTATGGCCGTTAGTCATCTCACTTAGTGGGACTATTCATATATTTTGCTTAAAAAAATTTAAATGTGTTTGATCCCAAAAGGTTCAGATAAGGGACTGTGGACCTATATTAAAATACTCCCTTACTATGTAGCCATAGGTAAGTCATTTAACCTTGGAGCCTCCGTTTCTTGAACTGTAAAACGGAAATAATAACCCCAACATCTCAAGATTGTTATGATGATTAAATGACAAAGCATCCTAAAAGGCCTTAGCTCTGTGTCGGTACCTGGTGGGCACTCAATAAAAAACCGACTGTTAATACCGCGGGAGTACAGGCCGCGAGTCTATGCTTTCAGACCTGGAGATCCTGCCCCGACAGACCAGAGCTATCTCTGTCTGGCTCACCTGGCTATGAGAATGGACTGCCCTGATGCATACAGCACCGGGCGGTCGCCGGAGCTGGCCAAACAGCACAGCCCAGGCCCTCCCATGTAGGAGTCCGAGCTGGGGCATCGTGCAGCAGGAGGCAGGATTTCCGGAACACGAGGCAAAGGACCTAGGAAAGAGGCAGATAGGACCCCAGGAAGGGTACAGGGCGCTGTAGAGGCGAAGTCCGAGCACCACAGAAGAGGTGAGCGTTTCTACATCTCCCAAATTCCGGAGGGTGGCTCCAGTCCTCTCTGGCTCCCGCCCAGCTCCCGCACTTCCGGTAAGAGCCGGAAGTGATTGTTGTACTGAGTGGTGGCTTTCTAGGCGTGCGGGCCCTCGACTCGATAGCCGGAAGTCATCCGAGCTGAAGCTGTGGCCCCCACAACCTGTCTAGACAGTAGTCAGCTCCAGTTGGCAGCCAGTATGGCCGATCGTGCGACGCTGGAGGATCTGGTGCGACTTCAGGGAGAGCGCGTGCGGGCCCTTAAGCAGCAGAAGGCCAGCGCCGAGCAGGTACGACCCAGGAGGCAGGAGAGGGGACAAAGGAAGGCCTGGGAGAACAGAGCGGGGAGTGGTCTGCACAGAGGATGGGGATGTGGAAGAAAGGACTGGACTTGTAGGTAGGAGGATGGGCTGGGTGGGGAGGTAGCTGCGGTAGGACCCGAGAGAAGCAAAGCTAGGCTTGGGAGAGAGATATGCCCCACGTCCTGCTGAGGGAGGGATACTGAATGAATGACGGAAGAGGGAGGGGGTGGCAGATGTGGTAGCCCAGCGCCTACTTTCCCTCCACAGATCGAGGAGGAGGTGGCAAAACTACTGAAACTGAAGGCACAACTGGGCCCTGATGAAGGGAAACAGAAGTTTGTGCTCAAAACCCCCAAGGTAAATATTCCTTTAGGGAGCCTCTGAGAGGGTCCCTAATTCCACTCACAAGGACGCATATATGCCTGCTTCTCTGAATCAGGTCATTGAGGAGGATCTGAAATCCTGCAGAGGAAACAACAGTTGGTTGTAGGCGCCAGGCTGGATTGCGCTCTGAGTCATTCTGGGATGGCAAAGTGATGGCAGAAGCTAGGCCAGCTGGGCGCTTAGGGGAGTCTACCTGCTACTGCTACTCCTTCTTTCATTCAGTAAATATTTACTGAGTGCTTACTGTGTGCCTAGCACTGTACAAAGCAGTAAGTGTACCATGGTGAACAATATAGCCCGCCCTCAGGGAGCTTACATTCTACTGAAGGAAACAGACTTAGGAGAAATAATCCCACACATGGATATGTAACTACAAATTGTGTTAAGTGATGTAAAGAAGTAAAAAGGATGCTCTGAGAAAAATAGGGGAGAACTGGGAAGTCTGAAGAAGTGATAGACTAGCTGACCTAATAGATGAGTGGAAGACAGCCGGGTGAAGAGTGTGAGGAAGATAAGTCCAGGTAGGGTATGGAAATCCTGAAGTGAGAAAGAACGTTGGTAGTTTCCAGGAACTATAAAAAGACCTTTATGACTAGAACCAAATAGAGAAGGAGAGTAGAATGGAATGAAGTTGGAGATTCCTAGCTCAACCACCATGATTTCAGTTCAGATGCCACTTTCTGTAAGTTCTGGGTTCCCTTGGCACTTCATAAGTATCTCTGTTATTGCATTTATTGCTGACTTTTCATTATTCACATGGTTTATTTAACCTGAGAGTCTGGGACTAAATAGGTATTCAATGAATGTATGTGAAATTTAATTCCAAAGTAGAAGGGAGATGATCTCTCTTCCTTATGTTGAGATGTCACCGTTTAAGAGTAATTCTTTGGGCTCCTAAAATCATTGAGCTATTCCTTTCTACATATAACTCATTTCAAAGGTTAAAGAGGGGCTTCCCTGGTGGCTCAGTGGTTGAGAGTCCGCCTGCCGATGCAGGGGGCATGGGTTCGTGCCCTGGTCCGGGAAGATCCCACATGCCGCGGAGCGGCTGGGCCCATGAGCCATGGCCGCTGAGCCTGTGTGTCCGGAGCCTGTGCTGCACAACGGGAGAGGCCACAACAGTGAGAGGCCCGCGTACCCCCCCAAAAAAAGTTAAAGAGATGGTGTAAAACCCCAAGGCAGTGACCATCAGTAGTTATTCAAACTATTGGGTGAAAAGATTAATGGGGATTTATGATAGATCAGGCTGACCTCAGCTAAACCCAATGATCAATCTTAGCATCACTAAAAGTAGGACAACCAGACATTATATTCCTCTTGATGTGATGCAATAAGAAGTACACAGCACCACCTATGAAGTATTCTTGCCAAGAAGAATTGTACCTGAATCTAATCAGTCTTCAGACTTAACTACCAGTTTACTGGAAATATGGGAAATGGAGGAAATGTTAAATGACCACATTGAATATACAGTTAACCAAATCTAGAATGAGAAAAATTCTTTCAGAAAAATGACTCAGTTTCCTCAACAAATAAAGGACATTTTTTTTAAAAAAGGGAAAGGAAACTGTTGCAGATTAAATAGACATGAGACATATCAACCAAGTACAGGTTATGAACTTATTAAGAATCTGATTCAAACAGTCAACCATAAAAAGATATTATTGTGGCAGTTGGGGGTAATTAAACATGGTTTGGGCACTAGGTAAAGGGTTGCTGTTAAGTTGTATTGGTTGTAAGAAAGGTATTGTAGTGTTTTGGTTTTTAATCCTTATATGTTAGACAATTATACTGAAATATTTATGGATGAAAGTATATGATATCTGGGATTACCTTAAAATACTGCAGGAAAAAAAAATATTGGGGCTTAGATAAAATAAGAATAGCAGATGTTGATAGTTGTTGGAGGTAGGTAATAAACACAGGGTGGGGTGGTCCAGTGTACTATTCTCTATAATGTGTGTTGGAAAATTTCCATAATTTAATGTTAAAAGAAAATGAGATACAGCAGAAACTAACACAACACTGTAAAGCAATTATACTCCAATAAAGATGTTTAAAAAAAAACAAGAAAATGAGAATATACTGGAGAGTTAATATCCACTTAGTTTGTTGAAATACATTTCTTGACATGTGATTCATAATTAACAGAAAACTCAGTATTATGGGGAAAGGACTTTTTCAAGGAACGTTCCTGGTCAAAATTATTTTCATAATGTTATTTGCCTTTTTCACTTCGTTTGCGATGAAGGTGCAAAAGCACTGGTGTGTAGAACTGCTGGTGTCTTAGCACAAATTAAGATGTTGGCACTGAGCTGTACTAATTAATAACCATTATGTTCTTTACTTTTGTGAACTCACAGTAAAAAAAAAAGATTCAGTTTCACTTAAGAATGTCCTTGATAAAACAGTAAAAATTATTTATTTTATTGAATATCGACCCTTGAGTACACTGTTTTTTAATATTCTGTATGATGAAATGGAAAGCACAGATAAAGCACTTCTGCTGCATTCCAAAGTAGGAAAAATGCTGTGCCATGTGTGAACTGTAGGCTGAACTAGCTACTTTTTTCATGGAAAACCTTTTTTATTTGAAAGAAAAACTGAAAGATAAACTATTGTGTTAAAGATTTGGATATTTGGCAGACATTTTCACAAAACTGAACAAGTGAGCCTTGTCACCTCAAGGAAAACATTCAACAGTATTTGTTGCCAGTGATAAAATTCAAGTGTTCAAGTCAAAGTTAGAACTTGGATTTTCCACCATGAGCTTGACAGGTTCTCAGTACTTGAAGACTTTCCTGATGAGATCTATGGTGACATGAACAAATATGGTTTTTTGATATTGTATAATGAGGCATATCAACATTTGGAAGATCTGTGTAACTGTTATCAAAGAACAAATATTTTCCAAATGACCAATGCATGATATTATAAAATTGTGCCTGCGTAGAATATCCAAAGTACAAGATAGAGTAACAGATATTTTTTAAATTGTACTAAAATATACATAACAAATTTTGCCATTTCAACCATTTTTAGGTGTACAGTTCAGTGGCATTAAGTACATTCATATTGCTGTGCAACCATAACCACTATTCATCCCCCAGAACTTTTTCATCCTACCAAACTGAAATTCTTTACCCATTAAACAGTAACACCCCATTCTACCCTCCCTTCAGCCCCTGGTAACCATCGTTCTACTTTCTGTCTCTGTGAATTCTGGGTACCTTATAATGGATTTTAATGTAACAGTGTGAAAAGTTCATTGATGTACTTTCAGATTCCACATTGCAAACCAATCCTTAAGAAGCTCTCCCTCTGGATTTTGGTATAGTTTAAGAAGAACTACATTAATATCTACAATTAGCTGAAAAGTTTATTAAAAATATTCCTCCTTTTACAATTACACATCTCTGTAAGGCTAGATTTTCTTTATATATTCAACCAGAACAACGTATCACAACAGAATTGAATGCAAAAAGCATATATGAGAATTCAGCTGTCTTCTATTAACCCAGGCATTAAAGATTTGCAAAAATGTAAATCAGTGCCACTCTTCTCACCAAATGTTTTTGTTTTGGAAAGTAGTTAACATTTTTCCTAAAATGTTATTTATGTTAACATGTAATGGATTTTCTTTTTGTTAAGTGAATTAATAGTTTTAAATGTTTGCAGTTTTAATTTATAATACAATAAATATTGATAGGTATAATCCACTTTGGGGTCCTTAGTAAATAGTAAGAGTGTAAAGGGGTCCTGAGACCAAAAAGGTCCTACTTGTGAGTAGCATATAAAAGCCCATACTAGAAGCTCTGACCTGGAAGAACAGAGTTCTAGTACTGACTGCCAGGAACCAGCTGAATGGCCTTAAGTAATGATTTAACTTCTCAACACATTCAAATTCATTAACTTAGCCCTTGTCATAGGGCTATCAGAAAAAAATTAAAGAAAAAAATAGTGGAGACTTCCCTGGTGGCGCAGTGGTTAAGAATCCGCCTGCCAAAGCAGGGGACACGGGTTTGAGCCCTGGTCTGGCAAGATCCTACATGCTGCGGAGCAACTAAGCCTGCATGCCACAACTACTGAGCCTGTGCTCTAGAGCCCGCGAGCCACAACTACTGAGCCCGCGTGCTATAACTACTGAAGCCCACACACCTAGAGCCCGTGCTCTACAACAAGAGAAGCCACCACAATGAGAAGCCGGCGCACCGCAACGAAGAGTAGCCCCCGCTCACCACAACTAGAGAAAGCCCGCGCGCAGCAATGAAGACCCAATGCAGCCAAAAATAAATAAATTTAATAAAAAAAAAAAAAGAGGGCTTCCCTGGTGGCGCAGTGGTTGAGAGTTCGCCTGCCGATGCAGGGGACACGGGTTCGTGCCCCGGTCTGGGAGGATCCCATATGCCGCGGAGCGGCTGGGCCCATGAGCCATGGCCGCTGAGCCTGCACATCCGGAGCCTGTGCTCCGCAACGGGAGAGGCCACGACAGTGAGAGGCCCGCGTACTGCAAAAAAAAAGAAAAAATAGTATTTATTAGGATTTCTTTTTAAGGTATGTTGGGAGAGAATGTTACTTGTAAAATTTGGAATTCGATTCATTAAGCCAGTTTGAGTTGGTTATATGCCTGTCATCAGGTAGATGTTTTCTATTAGGCAGGGGAATGTTCTGTTTCCCAGAAAATGAGTTTAGGAAAATTTCTCAGAGAACAGAGTTCCAAGAATTCTAGAAGATAGAACCAAGCTAAAAAGGGGTTGGAATTTAGAAGGGTGAGAGCAAATGGGTGTGGTAATTAATAGGGAATTGTTTGTACTTGTTTTACAACTCAGTGACCTGTAGGAAAACCTAAGTTTGGGGCAGGGTTTTCATTTGCCATCATTGAAGTCATGCTTTTATATTTCTAGACCTTACTGTTCTTTGTTTTTAAACCCCATCCCTGGTTCTCTGGCTGATTTTGACTCCAAGGGCACAAGAGACTACAGTCCCCGGCAGATGGCAGTTCGGGAGAAGGTGTTTGATGTAATCATCAGCTGTTTCAAGCGCCACGGTGCAGAAGTAATTGATACACCTGTGTTTGAACTAAAGGTGAGGGGTGGATGAGGAGAAATTGCCTGGTGGAATAATGGGTATACAAACAACAAAGAGGATGGCAAGAGAGTGAGGCCCAAAGGTCTCTCTCTTGTTGCAGACAAAGATTGGCATTTTCTCCATGAGAAGGGGGACAGGACTGGCATAGAGAAAGAGGCCCTGCTTTTTATTTACCTTGGTTGTGGCCGGCAGCATCCAAAAGAGAGCCCTTCTCAGGGGTGGAAGTTGTTATGGCTCCTGTCTACATTGAATTCCATGGCACCTGTACTTGAGATGTTTCCTAGATACATGTAAATCGAACATATAAAGGATAAATATGCAACCAGTCTCCTATTGGTGGACCCTGAGGTTGTTTCTAGTTCTTTGCTATTAAAAAACAGTTCTTTGCATCCCTCCCTGCTTAAAACCCAGTAACTCCCAATGCATTTATAATAAAATCCAAACTCTTTACTCAGGCTTACAAGGCACTACACGATGTGGCAACTTGCCTACCTTTCCCACCTCATCTCATGCGCTTCTTCCCCTTGCCCACTGTGCTACCATGGTCTTTTTCTATTCCTGGAACATACTAAATACGTTTCGATCTTCGAACCTTTGTTCTTGCTCTTCCCTCTTGCTGAACTTCCTTTTTCTCTAGCTCTCTGCATGACTTTAATTCCAGAGTAAATTAGACATAACAGATTTTAATTTCAGATTTCAACTAAAATGCCATTCCTCAATTACTCCTCTCCAACTGCCTTGTCTAAAGTAGCCCTTGTCTATCACATTGACCTATTTTATTTCCGTTAAAGAAGCTATCACTATCAAAAGTTATGTTAATTTGTTTCCTTGCATTAATGTACTGCCTGTCGCTTTTCATTACTATAGAAGATCCATGAGGGTATGGACTGCCTTTGTTCACTGATGTATACACAGGGCTTAGAACAATGTCTGGTACTAGTGGGCATTTATCTGCAGGGTAAATTCACAGAAGTAGAATTTCTGGGTCAAATGGTTGTACTCATTCCTATTTCTACCAACTATATTAGTTTGCTAGTGTTCCCATATCAAAATACCATAGACTGGGTGTCTTAAAGAACAGAAATTTATTGTCTGGAGGCTAGAAGTCCAAGATAAGCTGTCAGCAGGTTTGGTTTCTTCTGAGGGTCATGAGGGAAGGATCTGCTTAAGGCCTCTCTCACTGGCTTTTAGATGGTGTCTTTTCCCTATGTCTTCACATCATCTTCCCTCCTCTGTGTCCAAATTTCCTCTTTTTATAAGGACATGAGTTATATTGGATTAAGACTCATCCTAATGACCTCATTTTACCTTAATTACTTCTAAAGACCCTGTCTCCGAATAGAGTCACAATCTGAGGTTATGGGGGGCCAGGTGGGTGCAGGGAATAGTGCTTCAATATATGAATTTCGAGGGGACACAATTCAGGCCATAATACCAACCACTGTATTCTCAGGCCATAACACCAACCATTGTATGAGTGTTTCTATTTTCTGCACACTGGGAATTTTCAGGTTTTTTGAACTTTGCCAGTCTGGTAGTGAAATATGTTATCTTGTTGAAGACATCACAGGGCAAGGACTCTCAGTTTTGGCTTTTGACAGTGTTCAAATCTCAGGCCGTCATAAAAACATTTATCTTTGTTGATCTAATGACCCACTCCTAGGCATTTATACTCCAAAAAAATATTCAAAAGAAAAAACTGTGTACCCAAATATATTTATTGAAATGCTATGGAATTTTTTTTTCAATTGGAATAACCTAAACATCTATCAGTGTAACACTAGGAAGGAAGGAAATAGCTTCTTCTCACTAGAATATTATGCAGCTTTTTTTTTTTGGCCATGCCGCACAGCTTGTGGGATCATAGTTCCCCAACCAGGGACTGAACCCAGGCCCTCCGCAGTGAGCGCACAGTCCTAACCACTAGACCGCCAGGGAACTCCCAATGCAGCTTTTAAAAATAATACTTCAGCTCTGTCACAAAATGGAAATGTGATAAGCAGAAAACCAAATTGGTATTTCCTTGATTATAACTACATCAAATAAGGAAACATTGGGAGAGAGAACAGAGGAAATGTAGATAAGTTGAAATCAGTCATAGTTAGAATGGTGGGTTTTTGTTTTTAAAACTTCCTTTCAAATTGTTATATTTATCATTATGGTCACATTTCTTTATGTTTTCTCCAGGAAACACTGACTGGAAAGTATGGGGAAGACTCTAAGCTTATCTATGACCTGAAGGACCAAGGTGGGGAGCTGCTGTCTCTTCGCTATGACCTCACTGTATCTTTTTAAACTTGGGATGTATTGGCCCTTACTGGGCTGGGGCTTTTTCTAGCCTCAGGTTTGGGGGCAGCTAGACATAGGTGGGATCAAATATAATGCATCTTGCAGTCAGGGAAGTTATTTCTCTAAACCAGGAGCTGGGCTTTGGCTAAACAGAGCATAGCTAGCCTTTGAAGGCTTCTGAATCCTGAGTGAGACCTCAGCTTTATGTCAGGGTCCAGTTCTGACTCTGCCAACAATCCCCTGGATTCAGAATACATCTCCCTTGCCCTGACTGGTGGACAGAGTTCTCCCTAATTGACCAACAGCACATTTCCTTTATCTCCAAGCTATGTCAGAGAATCATCTGCTTAGAGATCCCTACTTGGGGCCCTTTTTCTGCTCCCTGGCCAATCTGCCCACCCCCCTGCTGTGCTCAGCATAGCCCACAAAGAAAAGAGCCTTAATATTTTATGAGACTTCAGCTGCCCTGTATGGTAACAAAGTTGATTCTTGCTGATGTTCAGAAATGCTGTTAATCTTACAGATGGTGGTTTTATCCACACAGGGTGCGGTTAGACCCCAGCTTCTGTTGGTGATGATAATCAACTTCCAGACTGTGGAAGGTGGGGCTTTCCCCTTAACTCTTTGTCATCAGGTTCCTTTTGCTCGATATTTGGCAATGAATAAACTGACCAACATTAAACGCTACCACATAGCAAAAGTGTATCGGCGGGATAACCCAGCCATGACCCGAGGCCGATATCGGGAATTCTACCAGTGTGTGAGTATGGGGGCAGGATGGGTAAGGAGGCCCTCCCTTGAGCCAGTAGAATCTATTGAGTATTTATGGTGTCCTGAAAAATCTAGATGCCCCAGATAATGCTAACCCTAAGATTTCTTTAGTATTTTCATATACAGGACAGGGATTATGCTCCTCATTTTATCTGAGGAAACTTGAGGCTCAGCAAGATGAAGAGATCATAGGGATAAGAAAGGCAAAGTTAGGACTAGAACTCTTGGTGCAGTGCTTTTTATATTAAACCACAGTGATAGGATCAGCACAAAGGATGAGGTACTGTCGCATAGACTGGTGGCACAGCTTCTGAATGAATAAAGGACTAAGGCCGTATAATTGCTCCCACAACAGTGGAAGGAAATAAGGAAAAATAGATGAGTGAGATAATGAAGGAATAGCCCTGTGGATGGGAAGAAAACCAGGACTGGTAAGAGACCCAGGAATACTGGGGTTTTGCTCTGGGCTGACAGTCAGACGGAGAATGAAGAATGTGGTCTGCGCATGAGTGCAAAGAGGCCTCCTTCATAGAAAGCAGAGCTCTCAGGAGTCCTCCCTCAAGGTTAAATCCCTGAGGACCTCTAGCTAGCCCTCTCCCTACAGGATTTTGACATTGCTGGGCAATTTGACCCCATGATTCCTGATGCAGAGTGCCTGAAGATAATGTGTGAGATCCTGAGTTCACTCCAGATAGGCGACTTCCTGGTCAAGGTCAGAGCTGAATGGGGCTGGGAGGGCAAAGCTGGGCCTGGCCTCTCACAGGAGAAGGTCCTTGTGCAGAGGAACCAGTAGCCTAAGTGTCCAAGGCTATCGAGGGTCATGTAAGGAGATTCTCTTCTCACTATGCCTTGGGTCGCTGCAGGTGAATGATCGGCGCATCCTAGATGGGACGTTTGCCATCTGTGGTGTTCCTGACAGCAAGTTCCGCACCATCTGCTCCTCAGTGGACAAGCTGGACAAGGTAATGACCCAAACACCTGACTCTTCTTTTCCCAGATCCCACCCTGCCCTGAGAAATGGAAAAGACTATGCCCACAGAGGAAGATTAGCCCCAGGATATAGGTTGATGGGCAGCTTCTGCTTAAGACCACCCCCTGAGAAGGGCTCACACTTGCTCTGCACTGGGAAAGCTGCCCAGGGTTCCCTGACTGGTATCTGTCTGCTCAGGTGTCTTGGGAGGAAGTAAAGAGTGAGATGGTGGGAGAGAAGGGCCTGGCACCTGAGGTGGCTGACCGCATTGGGGACTACGTCCAACAGCATGGTGAGAAACAAACCCTGCCTCCCCGGCAGCCATCCCACTGCCCTCAAGCGAAAGCCAAACTCCTCCGTGTGTGTGTGTGTGTGTGCGTGCGCGCGCGCGCGCACACGCACACTAGAGACAGAGGGAAGGGGAATGCATGTGTGTGTATGCACACATGCATACATGTGTAATCCAGAGGAAAATTGTGTGTGTGTGTGTGTGTGCGCGCGCGCGCGCGCGCCTGCGCACACACACTGGAGACAGGGAAAGGGAATGCATGTGTGTGTGTGCACACATGCATACATGTGTAATCCAGAGGAAAAGGTAAAGCCCTTATATTTTTCTTCTTGTCAGTCTGGCTTACAAATCTGTCTCCCCAGGTGGGGTATCCCTGGTGGAACAGCTGCTCCAGGATCCTAAATTGTCCCAAAACAAGCAGGCCTTGGAGGGCCTGGGAGACCTGAAGCTGCTCTTTGAGTATCTGACCTTGTTTGGCATTGCTGACAAGGTGAGTCAGGTTGGGATGGGAGCCTTAGCTGAGCTCCGGGGCTGGAGGCCTTTGATCCTCATCTGCTGCTGACCATGTTCTTATCCCTCCAGATCTCCTTCGACCTGAGCCTGGCTCGAGGGCTGGACTACTATACCGGGGTGATCTTTGAGGCGGTGCTGCTACAGCCCCCAGCCCAGGCAGGGGAAGAGCCCCTGGGTGTGGGCAGTGTGGCGGCTGGAGGGCGCTATGATGGGCTGGTGGGCATGTTTGATCCCAAAGGGCGCAAGGTGCCATGCGTGGGGCTCAGCATTGGGGTGGAGCGGATCTTCTCCATTGTGGAGCAGAGGCTGGAGGTAGGTCTTGTGGCTGGGTGGAAGACATTCTGGGCAGATGGTGGCACCTGAGCTCTCTTCTTTGATCTCTAAGGGGGCAAGTAGTACTGCATTGGGCAAGTTGCATCTTTGCAAAGAAATGGAGAGAAGACTGTTGCTGTCCTTCAGACTCCCACCCCATTATAGGCCAGCTTGACGGATCTTTGATCATTCTTTCTTCACAAAATCCTTTGCTCCCTACTTCCTTCAGAGCTGTCAGGAATCTAGGCTAGTATATCCAAAGACCTGGATCTTCCTCATAATACAGAACACTTAATACTTTACTACTCTGTGCTAGGCACTGTGCTTAGTGCTTTTCATGCATTGTCTAATAAAACTCTTAAACAGCCCTCTGAGGATAGCTACTTTTATTATTCACATTTCTCAGGCAAGGGAACTGAAGATTATAGATCAAATAATTTGCCCAAGGTTTAAGTGGCAGAGTCAGAATTCGGATGCAGGCAGTCCAACTCCAAAGTCTTGCTCCCAACCACTCTGTGATATTGTCTCTAAGTGGGAAGCGTGTATCTGAGGCTGTGGGATCCCTCAGATGGCTATCCTGACTCTCTAGCACTTAGAGTAACATGAAGGAAGCCCTTCTTGGCCTCAAGCCCACCTTTGTTGCTACTGCTCTTAAGTGGCTGGTTGCCTTTCATCCCTCGGATAATGCTCTGGCAGTAACCTTCCCACTGCTCCCACCCTTTTCTCTAGAGTGGAACCCACTGGTGTTTTCCAATTGAGGTCACTGTTCCAGTAGGCATCTTATGTTGTAAGAACAACGGGAATAGTTTTCCAGAAAAAGAGACAGCAGCAGCATTCTTTCTCCCCTCCATCCACACACCCCCGAAGTTAAGCCCTATGGCTGACGCATAAGAGACACAGTCTCCTTGTGGGAACTAGGACTGCCAGGGGTGATTGGATTGCCTGGGTGAGCTCAGAATATCACTTATGATACATAAGGTTCTAGATGGAGATAAGCTTGAAGTTACTGTACATAAGCTACCTTTGCCCTCCATTATTAATTCTGGCAAGTCATATGTACAAGCCAGTCAGTTCATTTCTTATTCTTCTAAGAGCTACTTTTTGCCCAATTGCTAGATGAGAAGACTAGCCTGCCCTGGTGGAGTTGGGCCTGGTCTCAGAATCCTGACAAGAGCCTGCTCTGTTTGCTCTTTGAAGGTGTTGTGAAGGGTAGCCCAGTTCTTTCTTAACTGCTTCTTCCCTAGGTCTTGGAGGAGAAGGTACGGACCACAGAAACACAGGTGCTTGTGGCATCTGCACAGAAGAAGCTGCTGGAGGAGAGACTGAAGCTCATCTCAGAGTTATGGGATGCTGGGATCAAGGTAGAGGAGGCAAGCCCCAGGGTGGCAGCAAATTTGGGAGTGCTGGACACAAACGAAATAAAAGCTTATCCATAGTGGCCCTGCCATTACTGTGACTTCTTGGGGTGAAGGTCAGAGAAAGGTGCCAACTTGGGCCCCAGGGAGATTGTCCCAGAGGACTGCAGAAGACAGCCTTCATCTCCTTCCCTGGTCCCCTGCAGGCAGAGCTGCTCTACAAGAAGAACCCCAAGTTACTGAACCAGCTGCAGTACTGTGAGGAGGCAGGCATCCCACTGGTGGCCATCATTGGTGAGCAAGAGCTCAAGGACGGGGTCATCAAGCTCCGCTCGGTGGCCAGCAGGGAAGAGGTAAGTAGGTGCACAGGAAGGCTGAGGGATGGGGAATGTATGCCATTTCGGCAGACCAAGGCCAAAAGTTACTGTACACAAGCCAGACCAAGGCCAAGGCCCATTCAAGACCTAAGCAAAAGCCTGGCATTCATATTAACGCCCAGTCCTAAAGGACTTAAGGGGGTAATATGTTACTATGGTCATGGTAGGGTAAAATCTCCATCCCCACACATACCCTGTGTCTCTCCACCTCCCCCAAGAAGCGCTGTCTCCCCTGAGGTGTTTGATTGGGTTCCTGCGCCCAGCTGAGCCAGGCCTGATGACTAGAGGAAGGCATGGGTGCTCAGAGAGCAGTGGAACACAAGATGCTCATACCACCTTGTTCCTCCATCCTGGCCAGGTGGACGTCCGGAGAGAAGACCTTGTGGAGGAAATCAGAAGGAAAACAAGCCAGCCCCTTTGCATCTGCTGAGTTGAACTATCAGAGGAAAGCGGGACTGGCACAATTTAAGGCTAAGACAAAACTGCATACGTACTTCAACAGCTTTGCACGTTTCCTTCCCAACAGGAAGACCTGAAGAGTGGTCAGAACAGAGACTTTTTTATTTTTATTATGATTATTTTATTGGTAATCACAGGCAAAAATGGCCACCCAAAAATGGGTGGGCCACGGGGAAATGGCCCAAGCTGGTCTCCTCGGCAGGGCCCTCCAACCAGGTGAAGGGAACGCTTCCCGAAACCAGCCGCCGCGGAAGGTCCAATAAAATGCCTCAACCACTGGAGCCTGCCTGTGTCACTACTGCCTAGCCCTGCCTCCCCTGTTAGAGCCTGGGCCTCCCACTGCGACCACTTCAGCGGTGGAAAATGGGGAGAGACACTTACAGTAGCTCCCACGGGGTATTCCGCAGGGGGAAGGGCGCCCCTGACGTTCTCGCCTCCAGCCTCCATCCTGCCGGTTTGCGAGCCGTGTTTTAGGAGGTGGGGCTGCCCGCAGACCCACCCACTAGGGTCTCTAGCTTTCACCTGAGGGTCTGAGGTTCCCGCGGCGCACGTGCGGCGGATACCCCCACCCCCTTGGTGGGCGGGGTCGTGCTCAGAGCCAATGAGAGCTTGGGGGTGGAGAAGTAGGGAAGCTTCCAGAGGGGCAGATAGGGAGGAGGTTATAAAGGGGGTACGAGCGAGCCAGCGGGAGCGCAATGCAGTCCAAGCGGGAGTGTGAGGTAAGTGTTTGCCTACCCGGGGGTCGGTGAGCCCTGGACATAACAGGCGAGGTGGGGGTGGACGCGGCGATAAGGCATTCCAACCTGCCTTTTTCCCCCTCAGCTGTGGTGTGAGAGGGTGAATCCAGAGAACAAGGCGGCGCTGGAGGCGTGGGTCAGGGAGACGGGCATCCGCCTGGTGCAGGTGAACGGGCAGAGGAAGTATGGCGGGCCACCCCCAGGTACGGTAGTCCCAGCCCTCCGCCTACGGGAGGGCTAAGGCAGCCTCGACGGCCACGAGCCGCCGCGTTCGGGGGAGGGAGGGGCCTACGCCGAGGCTCCACAGTCAGAAACTTATAACTACCCCGTTACCCGCCCCCCCAGCTGATGAAACTCATTGTCTGTGG